CGTAAACCCGTCCGTGGAGAGAAGGAGATGGAGTTGAAGCTAGGCAACGTGATCTATCTGCATAATGTCATCGTGGCTGATATAATGGACGACTGCATCCTAGGCCTAGATTTCATGAGGAATAATTGTTGTGAGATCGACGTTAAGCAAGGTGTTTTGAAATGTGGACAGGAGGAACTTTTTATGGAAGGTGCGTTACCAGGGAACGTGTACAGCATTAAGAAGATTGTTCTTCCGCCGAGATCGGAAACGATTGTTCCGGTTAGTCTTCCTCGAAACGCTGGGCAACCTCACCGTTGTGTACTTGTGGAAAGGGTAAACAATGACCTTCCATGGAAAGTAGCTCGAACCTTGGTCAGGACCACTTACATCTCAGGAGTACGTGTGCTGAACCTTTGCGACCGTGAACAAATTATAGAAAAAGCCACACTGATTGGTACTTGTGAGGAAGTGGATTGGTTACGTCGGTGCCAATACACGGTATATCCAGTGGGACCCCCAACAAGGATGCAGAAACGAGAATGACCACACTTTTGGAAGACTGTCGCAGTGTTCTCTCCCCGAACGAATTGGTCAAGGCGAAGAAGTTGTTACTCAAGTACGCCGATGTATTCTCATCAAACGATGCTGACATAGGAAAGACTGGCTTAGTTCAACACAAAATAAACACAGGAGAAGAATCGCCTATCCATCAGCGGCCAAGAAGATTACCGGTAGCACGTGAAAAGGAAGTGGAAACCATGATTGAAGGAATGGTGAAGGATGGTGTTATTGAACCTTCCTCTAGTCCATGGTGTTCACCAGTGGTGCTGGTGAAGAAGAAGGATGGCAGCATGCGGTTTTGTGTTGACTACCGCCGTCTGAACGACGTTACGAAGAAAGACAGCTATCCCTTGCCAAGAATTGATGACACGCTGGACTTGCTTACAGGAGTAAAGTGGTTTAGCACGCTGGATCTAAAAAGTGACTACTGGCAAGTTGAAATTAAACCTAAGGACAAGGAGAAAACTGCGTTCTCGACGGGATAGGGTCTGTGGCAATTTAAAGTAATGTCGTTTGGGTTGTGCAATGCTCCAGCAACGTTTGAAAGGCTGATGGAACTTGTACTTACCGGGCTAATTGGCGATGCCTGTCTGGTCTACTTGGATGACATCATCATCGTAGGCCGGACGTTTGAGGAACACCTTCAAAACCTGGAACGCGTGCTCATGAAGATTCAGAGTGCCAACCTCAAGTTGAGTCCGAAGAAATGTTCACTATTCAAACGGCAAGTTAACTTTTTGGGGTATGTAGTATCGGAAGAAGGCATCCGCACGGATCCAGAGAAAATCGCCGCTGTCAAGGATTGGCCGGTTCCAAAAGACAAGACGCAGGTTAGAGCATTTTTGGGTTTGTGCTCCTATTACCGGCGATTTGTGAAGAACTTTGCAGATATAGCCAAACCTCTGCACAAGCTAACCGAGGAGAAGCGACATTTCTGCTGGGATGAAAGTTGCAATATCGCATTCCAGGAGCTCAAGGACCGTCTGTGCAAAACATCTATTTTGGGATACCCTGATGCAAGCAAAGAATTTATAGTTGACACAGACGCAAGTAATATAGGGCTTGGCGGTATGTTGTCTCAACGGAATGGTGACCAAGAGGTCGTGATAGCATACTTCAGCAAGTCGTTGTCAAAACCGGAAAGGAACTATTGGGTCACAAGACGCGAATTGCTCGCTGTGGTATAGTCGTTGCAGCATTTTAGCAAATATCTTCTGGGACGAAAATTTCACTTACGAACTAACCATGCTGCACTAAAATGGCTATTGCAGTTTAAAAATCCAGAAGGACAAGTTGCGAGGTGGATTGAACTACTGCAAGAATACGACTTTGAGATCGAACATCGCAGCGGAAAATCTCACGGCAACGCAGATGCATTGTCAAGAAGACCTTGTCCTGAAGATTGCAACTATTGTACTAGGCAAGAGAGTAAGGAAGAGGTATCCGTGAGGATGCTCAGGACGGACCACCTCAGCAATGAATGGAAGGACAGCTTACAACATGCACAGCAGGAAGATCCGGACATCAAGCCGATTCTGGAATGGATAAAGGCCAGTGCTCCCAAGCCTAAGTGGAGCGACGTCTCAGCAATGAGTTCAACCACTAAAAGCTATTGGGCCCAGTGGGACAGCTTGCTGCTTCAGGATGGAGTTCTGTGCCGTAAATGGGAAAATGTTAGGGGAGACAGCTGTCATTTGTAAATGGTTGTCCCTAAAGCTAAAGTACCGGATGTTCTACAGCTGTACCATAATGATTGTTCCGGAGGCCATCTCGGAGTTAAACGAACTCTACTGAAGATCCGAGAACGGTTTTATTGGGTCCACTGTCGAAACGATGTCGAGGACTGGTGTCGCAAATGTACAAGTTGTGCGGCTGTAAAGGGACCTCAGACTCGTAGTAGAGGTGCATTGAAGTTGTACAATGTTGGTGCACCATGGGAAAGAATAGCCATTGACGTGGCGGGGCCGTTTCCGGAGAGTGAAAGCGGTAACAAGTATTTCATGGTTGTGATGGATTACTTCACAAAGTGGCCAGAAGTTTTCGCCATTCCAAATCAAAAAGCTTCAACAGTTGCAGATAAACTAGTTCATGAAGTCTTCTGTCGTTTTGGAGTACCTTTAGAGATTCACAGCGATCAAGGAAGGAATTTTGAGTCTCAAATATTCCAGGAAACTTGCCGAGTTATGGGTACTCATAAAACAAGAACGACTTCTTATCACCCGCAATCTGATGGAATGGTGGAATAATTTAATCAGACATTGGAGAGGTACCTAGCAAAAGTTGTAGACAATCGGCAACGAGATTGGGACAAGCACATACAACCGTTTTTGTTGTCATATCGAAGTTTGTTCACGAAAGTACAGCAGTGACACCAGCTTTCGCAAACTTTGGAAGAGAATTACGGCTGCCTGCAGACCTGATCACCGGGATACCACCTGATGCCCCACGCAGTATAACCGATTATGCAAATGACTTGCGGAACAAAATGAATGACATTTATGAGCACGTCAGACAATCGGGCCAGCAAATGTCTGAGAAAATGAAAACCCGGTACGACCGCAAAATGAACAATAAAGGGTTCAACGAAGGTTCATTAGTGTGGTTGCACAATCCAGTCCGCAGCAAAGGGAAATCTCCTAAGCTTCAAGCTAAATGGGACGGCCCGTACCGGATTGTAACCAGGATCAACGATGTGACCTACCGGATACAGAAAGGCGCAAGAGGGACTCCTAAGATCGTCCATGTGGATCGCTTGGCGCGTTATTATGGGACCGATAATGCTCGGGGCGAGCATGTCTTAGGAGGGGGCAGTGTTGCGTGAATAAGTCAACGACATACACTAGCGCCATCTAGTGTCAGGAACGAGAGCGAGGGGAGCTTTGCAGAAAATGACATCACAAATCTTTCAACCGACAGCGCTATCCGAAGAACTAAGTTTCTAGAAAATCTACACTCGAACACTCGTCGCTTTGCGCGCATTTACTTGAATATTCCTGCTATGCTTCATTGCTAATTTGTATATATAGGCGCTGCAAGATGCGATCGAGGCAGTATTGGATTTGGCGAGACAAGCGAAGCTTCGGAGCGGAATAAAGTGAATTAGTGTGTTTAATTATTAGTGTTTTAAGTTTTAATTTGTGTAAAGTAAATTAAAGTGTTAATTTAGGTAATTCTATCGGCAATTTTTATTGTCACGAACCTCAAGCTCGTAACAGTGTCATTAAAAGCAGCGACTTTTTCGTGTACAGTAGGGGCGACCATCGCTTTGCACCGTTTTAATTTGGACGCGTCTATACACAACTTTTCTAAATCCATACGACAAAACAGCGTATGTGCAGGAATTAAGAAAGTTGTAGGTCTTAAGAAAGGAAAATTAGGTAATGATGGGAGAGTTCACACGAGGGTGGATAGGAGAAGATGTAAAGGTTAAGTCGAGCCAAGGGTCATCGCAACCAATGTTGTGATCACTGGCTCGTAAAGGAAGGATATGGAGACCAATCGATTTGACAATATGAAGGAGTTTAGAGGAACGGAGTGATGTAGGAACGTCAGTATTGAAGTCACCCATGATGACGTGGTGTGTATATTCAGACACTAAATATTTCACACTTTAAAGTTAAAGTTACACTCTATATACGCCCCACTGCTGGGCACAGATCTCCTCTAATTTCTGAGGTTTTAGGGCAAGGACACTTTCTTCCGCCGCGCTGCCCCAATGCGTGTTGGCAAACTTCACGTCTTCGAAATATTTTTTTCTAATTTCTTAGATGTAGGTTTCCTCAGGATATTTTTCTTCACCGCCAAGCATGTGGTTTTCACTCTTCACGCGCATCTACAGAAAAAGAAATTCAGCAGTGGGGAATGACAGCTTGAAGAGGAGACTAGCATTTTTTAAGAAAAGTCACAGCGGAGATATATAGCAACACCACTCGCTCTTTTGTCCACCCGATTATTGCGTATCGGAGTAAAGCCATAGAGAGGGTAAGTGGTGGAAAAAAGATGAAGTATGAACCAGGTCTATGAAATCAAAATGGCATGAACGTTAGCATTCAAGAAAGCTTCAGTTAGGTCACTGTAGTGACTGGATACGCTCTGTGCATTAACACATTCAGTGCCCACTCCACGGATCCGTGTGGTAGTGGGAGTAAAAGCAGGGCCTACTACACGGATCCGTGTATTACTCTCGCACATTTTTCTATTGTCTAGTGAGCTTTGGGCTCTCGCGGCAAGTTAACGTTGTCTGCTTGGCCATCCGTACGTATAATTAAACTTACGAAAACCTGTGTTGGATTTTTTGATAACTTGTTTAGTTGCACTTTGATTAGCTAAGGAAAAGGACGTGTTTTCCTACCAAAATGAATAGTAAACCGAGTACTTCTAAGCGTTCTAGTAGCGTCAAAAAGACATCCTTTTGCAAAAAAAGACGTAACAGTAGTGATGAAGGTGAAGGAATTGACATGGATTTTTTAGAATTTTCGAGTGATGAAGAGGTTTATTCGCAATGTGATTATGAAGATGGATCATCTGAAGAGGAAAGTGATGACAGTAAATTGAGCATTTTCGATACTCGGAAACAACCTGAAATGATAAAGCATACATTGAACACTCTCCAGGAGTCAAGTTTAGCCTTGACGTCAACAAAATCAAATAACGTAGCTTCTAAGCCACGTCCATCGCATGTGTCAGCAAAATTGTCCTCTGCTTCAAAAACGGTAGATGATATTATGCGGCAATCTCCTAAGGAAATGGAGGATGAGCTTATGCCACAACCACCACCAGCAAATAGCCGGCATATCCCTTCCATAGAACAGGATTACAATGAACTTCCTGACTTACCTGATTATCTATTGCGAGAGAATATGTCTACCCCTAATTTTTCCCTGTTAAGATCGGACGTGCCTACTCCTGACTATTGTGATGGCAATTTAGCATCCGAACCTCATAATTCACCTAGCTCGTCTTTGCCTCATTCGCCTATTCGTAATATTGCGGAAAACTTACCCTCTCGAAAAGAATCTTCAGAACGTGGTGATTTAGTCAGCCCGTCTATTTTCCGTTCGCCTATTCCAAATAATGCAGAAAATTTACTCTCGAGAGAGGTAGCTGCAGCTATTCGAAACGAAGAAAATGTACCCTCTCTAGATTGCCCTACAGAAACTTGGAGCACTGATCGAAGCTCAATGAAGACAATTTACTTTACTCAGTCACAAGAGCTACTAGTACCGCCTCCAGCGAATCCTTTTGAAGTATTGAGACTTTTGATTAATGATAAATTGATAGACCTAATTGTGCAAGAAACTAACGCTTACGCAGTAAGAGTACTATCTTCACCTGGTGTAACAGATCAATCAAGAATCACACGCTGGAAGGATGTAACACGTGAAGAACTTTGGACATTTTTTGAACTGCTCCTGCATACAGGATAAATTCGCCTAAATAGGCTAAGTGATTATTGGAAAAAGCATTGGCTATTTAAATGACCAGTTGTTCTCGTCACGTGCCGAGAAACCGGTTTATATTAATACTACGTTGCCTACACTTCTCTTCTGATTCAAATGAGGAAGATAGGTTGGTTCCAATTCGCCCAATCATGAACCATTTTAACGAGACGATGAAACGTATTTACAGTCCAGGTAAACAATTATCGCTTGACGAGTCGATGGTTTTATGGCGAGGTCGACTTATATTTCGGCAATATATTAAAAACAAGCGCCACAAATACGGTATAAAGTTATATGTTCTGGCGGAACCGGATGGCACGGTCTTGAATTTTCAAGTATATAGTGGTGCAAATGATACTACCTCAGGAAAAGGACACACAGATAAAATTGTCCTGAAATTGCTCGAAGAAATATTGGACTACGGCCACAGTATATACATGGATAATTATTATAATTCCTATAATTTGGCAGTAAAATTACTGGAACGAAAAACTTACTGCACAGGCACCTTGGGAAAAAACAGAAAAAATAATTCAGTGGATCTCGGTTCAGTCACACACAGAAAGGGAGAAAACAAATCATTATTCTTGAATGGTGTCCACATCGGTAAGTGGAGAGACAAACGGAATGTGCTCTATATATCCACGGAACATGACGACGAGATGGTAGAAATTGCTAGCAAAAGGGGCCAAGTGTTGCTAAAGCCCTCAGCTATCGTCCATTACAATAGCTTTATGTCTGGGGTAGACCTTCAGGACCAAATGTTGGCCTATTACCCATGCCAAAGAAAGACGCTGCGCTGGTACAAAAAATTTTTTGTACATATTCTGCAAATGAGCCTAAGTAACGCGTTTTACTTATTTAATAAATACTCAAATTCCGACAAGATGAACCTCTATGATTTTAGAATGGCTATCTTAGAAAATCTTTTACCTCAACCTGTACCAACGGAGCAAATTAAGTTAAAAATTCAGCACAATGTGACGAAAATATAAAACTTTAAATTACGTGATAAACAAGATGGTAATTCCACAAAAATTACTAGAGAAATCATCAGGAAGGAGTGCAAGGGCTGCAGAGCCAAGAAGAAAAGAGTAGCTACCTTATACGAGTGCAAAGGATGTGATGGATCCCCAGGATATTGTACAGCATGTTTTAACAATGTCCACTCTTAAAGTGTGTTATGTATTTAATATATTGTGTATATATGTGCCTTATTTACCTACCTTCTTATGTTTTAAATTAATAAAAAATGTTTGTTGTTTACACTATCTGTCATTTTATGGGGTGGTCTTTATGGTGCAAAGGAGCAGAAGTACTTACTGTAATAATAACATGTTCTTTATTGCACAACCCTCGCCAACACGGATCCGTGTTACTGGCCACACGCTTGTTATTGGCCTGATACACGGATCCGTGTCGGCGATAATAATTATAGAATAACAATAATAATAAATAAATGAATATTATTATATAGTCCTAATTTATGTTTTCTTACATACACTCAATATTTTTATAAATTTTTATGTGGGCCCCCCGTGGTTATCATTGATATTTAAAAGGGAATTCAATGTATTAACTTTAACATGACACACGTTCAACTTACATACGTTAGTACTATATTTTATTCTGTGCTTACGTGTTGATATTTCGTTTGAGGTTTGAGCCACTAAAATTAAGTAAAAAAACTGTCAGTCGTAGCACTGAACGTCAGAAGTGAAAGCTTCTTAGTTTCACAAACTTGCCAACGTTATTTTTGGGTTGTTTTTATTTTTATCAACGTTTCAATTAGAAATTGTTTTTATCAACGTAATTAATTATTATTATTACGTATACCTATAATACAAACAAATTTACAAGTACCATTGACTTATATATTACTAGCGTAAGGACCGGGCCGACCGAACAACTAAAACGGACCAGTGCGCTGGCCCTAAAATTACAGTTTAGGGCCAACGCGAATCGTTCGACAGTGGTGCGCGCGCGCAGGACAGATTTGTCTGTAATAAATATGTCTAGTAGCATCTTTGACTAGAGAAAAAAGAAAGGACATGACATACCTACGAAAAAACGTGTATACTTAAACTGAGTCTGGCACAAAGACGGCGGCTTGACGTAGTGCTGCGCATTATAATGAATATCGATAATGTGGCTCTTATTTAGAAAAAGATTCTTTCGTGTGATCCGTCTCAAGCACCCGTGTGTTCTTAGATAGCTTTTTTTAAATAAATATGACGGATTTTTAAATTGTAGGTCCTTAATTTTTTTTTTTAAAGTTATAGTTATGTTTTCGGTTATCGAATTCCACGAGAGAAACATATGAAAATAACATACTCACCTCGCTAAAGTCGCAATGACAACTGATATAGTTGTCATTGATTGTGACAAAACATGGCGCCCGGCCGCAGCAAAAAAAATTGTTGTTATATTCGGTAATGATAAAACTACTGTTGTCCTTTTTTACATACGAATATACTCATAAGCCAAAAAGAGACGCCGATATTTCGTTATATTCCTACAACTAACGATCTTTATGTCATGTCCTTTCTTTCTTCTCTAGTCAAAGAGTTGCTTGGTAAAAGAATGAAAAATTACAAAACAAAGATTTTAAAAAAACATGGGATATCGTATCATCAGTAAATAACCTTATATTAATTCTGTTACAATTAAATTACAATTTAATTTTTGTCTAAAGAACTTAGTTTAAGTTAAATTAGAATATTGGTACCTAATATATTTTATATTCAATTAGGGTAAAACGAAAAGAGTACAAAAGAAACCATATTTCTACTTTTGAAATTCTGTTTTCAAACCGATTGCTTCTGAGCAGAGTTTTTATCTTGGTAGCCCCTCATTAATGTTGTATCAAGGATGCAACATAAACACATTGATCGAGCATCGATTAACCAGAAAGGGAGCTAATTCTAATTTTATTAAAAAAACGTGGTACTCATGTACAATACAAAAATTCTTGATATCGTAGGGTTAATATTAAAATTTAAAAGGACCCAATAATAATACAAGTCGACCTTTAGGTAAAATTATGGTATTTTCCCTTTGTTTTATTACGATACTATATACTACACACTTTGAAATAATTATACAATTAGGATAATTATACTACGAAATCCGACCGTCATAAACGTCAAATCAAAATACGACATAACCCGTAGACAGAGAAACCTATAGACTAATGATCGGCATGGCCTCGAGTGAGAAAGAACGATAACGAATTTTTAGGTTATAGAATAATCTTTATGACTTATAAACACATTTAGATAAAAATTTTAATTGTTCTAAGAACTGAACTGAACAAGATTCACCAATCTTAAGCTCACAAAACACTTTTTTTCTCACTTAAACCAACTTGTATACTCCTTAAATCGCTACGCTGTCAAAGTTAACAAAAAGTAAACAAAAAAACCGGCACGGAGAAAGGGTCAAAAAATCACACCGCTCTATCTCATTTTTACGCAAAACGTATGCTTAAATCTATCTTTTTCGTGTGCAAATGCGAAAAAAAGGCGTCAATTTGTCTATAGGTTTCTCTGTCTACGACATAACCAGATGTCGTGTTTTGATATGACGTTTGTATTATGTTGTATTATGACAGATGCGCTACTTTTTCTTGTATGAAAAGTTGTGAGTAAAATATTTAGAAGGGCCTATCCTTCCTTTTGAAATCATTAATAAGTACATATTAATTTTATAAAATTTAACCAATTGGATTTCCAAGATTACTTCCATTAATTTTGTTTCTGAGCTATGATCATGATGGTCACGCGAGTTCAGTGCTTTCCCCATCCCAAAAATGCCCAACGTGCATATAGAAGTTTTTACTTCAAAAATCATTAGTATTAAATCAGTGTACGAAAAATATTGCATGTGAACGAGCTCTTACAAATTATGGTTCATAAAAGATAGCTTGATCTGTGACAGCTGTCAGTAAAAATCACGTCTATGAAGTCCTGAATTTCGTGTAAGACAGTACCTGTAATGTCATACTTTTGGGCGTGACTTAGGTGCATGCCATAAATATGAATTGAAGGTTGTACTAAGAAATTCAGGATATCATAGGGGTGATTTTACTGACAGCTGTCACAGAGATCAAGCTATCTTTTATGAACTATAGCAACATTTTAAATTCATAAATTGAGTACTAAAAAGAACATTCAAGTAATATGTCGTAGTACATAATAGCTAAATGAAAAAGAATCACCAATTCAAATTTTCCCGCCAATTGATCAAATAGATACAGCCAGCAAATACAATTATTTAAATTATTAAAAAGTAATAATACCAGGTATTTTGAATTTGTAAATTCTTAAATTTGTGGCCTTATCATGTATTTAATAAATGAGAAACTAAACGGACAGATTTTCACATGTGTTTTCTAACGAACGCATCGGCTCCCAGATGATTCCAAATTTAACTACAGCGTTCCTTATTATAGCCCGCGGTAAACTTTCCGTGCGTAGCGAGTAAATTTACGAAATTTGTGTCTGAAGTGCATTTCATATATATATTTTAGTGTGTTTCTGTGAAATATATAAAGGATAATGGATATACCTACCGACGTGTGGGGGCAACTGGCTTTGGAAGCGAGTCAAGTGTATTTAACTGAAGGTGGACAAGTCAGAAGTCCCTTTGCTAGCACGGTAATATTGTTTTCTATTTACCGACTAAAATGTTACAGCGTTTCAGTAACTCGTAATATTGTTCAGAGGTTTTTGCTGATCTTATGTAATCTATGGCATATGGTCGTTGTGTTCAAATATATATTTTTCTGTATTATATACTAAATAATAGATACAATTATTAAAATTTTGTAAATAATAATATTACGGTTGATATGTGATGAGTGCAATACGTATATATATATATATATATGGTGATATATATATATAGTATATGATATATATATATATATATATATAATCATTATAGTAATATCATTGTAGAGATATACTTTATACCGATAAACT